GTACCTGTGCAGGAGAGCTGGAGCAGAGGGAGGAGGTCACAGAAATAATGGTCGATGGTGTTTGCATCACAGAAGGTCAGTCTCAGCATGCATCCAGTGTGAGCCATGGCACCAGAAAATGCCATCAAGTAGGAAGCAAACATAAGCCTGGAACACACTTTAGGGGACATGGCAGCATTATACAAGAGTGGGTTACAGATGGCCACATAGCGGTCATAGGCCATTGATGTCAGCACATAACATTCAGAAATGACAAAAAACAGAAGAAGTAGAGCTGAGTCATGTGCCCCATGTAAGAAATAATGTTCTTCTTTGATGTGAAGTTAATCAGCATTTTGGGTGTAAACACAGAAGAATAACAGAGATCTATGAAGGACAAGTTAAAGAGGAAAAAGCACATGGGGGTATGTAGATGTGAATTCAGCTGAATTCAGAATTAAGATTATCAAGCTCAAGTTCCCCATTACAGTGACCACATACATTCTTAGGAATGGGAAGAAAAGGGGTAGCTGGAGATCTGGTTGGTCTTTTAATCCCATCAAAAATGAACTGAGTCAGGAAAGACCCATTTCCAGGAGCCATTCTTCTCTAAAGGAATCTGTGGACACAGGAGAAAGGGTTCCATTAAAGAACAACTCGGCTCTTCCACTGTTTCTCCTCCTATGAAAGAGTATACACACTATTGAATGCCTGACACTCTCCCAACCTGGTCCCATAGAGTCTGCCTTTTCCATTATCAGGATACAGAGTGATGTGGACTTGCCTTTATTAGAACTTTTATGAGCTAAATATAACAAAGGACATCATAATCATCCTAGAGTGGGAAGGCAAGTGCTGCCGTATGCAAACATACCTTCTGGAAAAACCAAGGGAAGAGAACAATGGACAAGGATGCAATTCTTCTACTCTCACCTCAACATTCCTTCACTCATGTCAACTCTTCCCTCACCAGGCTTCTCATTGCAGATAGACCTTATGGGGCAGGAACCAAGAACACTCTTTCTAAATCAAGATGAAGGGACCCAAGTCTATGAGAGTTAAGTTACCAACCTTGTCACAGAGTAAAAATCATAAAGGTAGAAGAATGAGAGATCTACCTACTTAGAGGAATCTGCCTGACTGTTATGTCCTTTGAGCCCTCTAATATTCTCCAATTCCTCTCCAACAATGCTTCCACTAGTTTCACTTGAGACTCAACAGCCCAAAATGAGAAAGAATGGTCCATGGACTTTCACCTCAAAACAAAGAGTAAGTATTGTAAATTACATGCAGAAACTCACCCAACCTTCTCTTAAAACTCCAGGTCTGGCTCCCTTACCCTAGGTCTTTACCCTGTTGGTTCTGGAAATGTCATTTCATGTTCTCCAATCTTGATCATTTTGATTTTAGGAGAGAGGAGATAGACATTAATTCACCTGTGTTCTGGAAATCTTTCTGAACTTCTACAATTTCTGATATTTTCAGTGTTGTCAAGTGACAGAAGAAAATAATCCTTTTGTTATCATACTTGCTACTTGATTAGACACAAAAGATTTAATGTGAGTGTAATGATGTAATGCACTTGGTGAAAAGCAGGTTAGGAGCTTGCTTGGTCTCCTCTCCAGGGTGTAGATTATATGTATAATATGGAACAAGGAAACTATGAATTCCAGTTCACAGTCTGTCTTTAGTTCTTTTGGACCTACTCTTTTACTCATGTTTGCTTTGTTCTAGGGACTGTACACCCCTCAGGTAGATCCAAAGTGAATTCCCATCTCCTCATTATCTACACCTCTGAAGGGAAAGCTACTAAATTGTCTCATTCCCTCTTTATTCACATTTACTGAATGGACATGTTTGTGTAAGAGATCTACTTTCAGGTTTCTTTACTATTATTGTTTTTAATCAGAAATTCTTCAAATGTTGCAGTGACTCATTTCAGTTCTCTCTCTGAGATGTCTCTGATAGAATCTAGTATAGTACATCCCTTCTATAGTTTATGCTTTTAACATATCCCTGAAATTTCTACCTGACTCTTCTACTGGCTCATTTTCTGTAATATTTCAGCTATCAATTTTTTCTCATCATAGAAAAGAATAGGAGCCATGGAGTTAGAGTATTGTGAATCCTACTTTCCTTCTTCCTCTTTTACAAACTACATCATTTGGGGATAGTTACTTAATCTCTTGTTTCTTCTATGTAAAATAAGGAATGCTAAAATAGCATCCTTTTCATTGAGCTGTTGTGTTAATTAAATTAAAAAAAAGTAAATTGGCTTGGACACTGTCTGGTATATGATAGACAATAAATGTCAGCTGTTATTATTCATGTTCTCATAACTTTCACTAGATTCTGTTACATAACACTCATCAGACTTTTCCCCTTTGTGTTCTCTATAAACTGTAAATTCTATAAGGACAAACATTTATTCTATCTTGTTAACTCTTTGGGTCTTGAATGTAAGAACAACAGAGTACACAGAAGGAATTCAATGAGTACTTCTGAAACTCATATTAATTTTGTCTAAGAGCTTTCAGAATACACTCAAGACCTCTCTTATGCTAAGCTATAACATCTGCAACCACAATGACCTCATCCATGTCCCTCAGCCACCACACAATTTCTGAATTTATCTTTAAACTGAACTACTGTAATGTTGAACTTTAGTGGCTCCTAACTATTATTTTTTTTATCATTTTCCCACATATTCACTCTGCTTTTTAATATGCTATCTAGGTTGTTCATAGCTTTTCTTCCAAGGAGCAAGTGTCTTTTATTTTCATAGCTGCAGTCACCATCTGCAGTGATTGTGGAGCCCCCAAAATAAAGTCTCTCACTATTTCCATTGTTTTCCTATCTATTTGCCATGAAGTGATGGGATCAGATGCCATAATCTTAGTTTTCTGAATGTTGAGTTTTAAGCCAGCCTTTTCACTCTCCTCTTTCACTTCCATCAAAAGGCTCTTTAGTTCTTTTACATTTTCTGCCACAAGGTTTGTGTCATCTGCCTATCTGAGGTTATGGATATTTCTTCCAGCAATCTTGATTCATGCAGTCCAGCATTTCTCATGATGTACTTTGCATATAGGTTAAATAAGCAGGGTGACAATATACAGCCTTGATGTACTCCCTTCCCGATGTAGAACCAGTCTGTTGTTCCATGTCCAGTTCTAACTGTTGCTTCTTGACCTGCATACAGATTTCTCAGGAGGTGGGTCAGGTGGTCTGGTATTCCCATCTCTTGAAGAATTTTTCCATGTTTGTTGTGATCCATGCAGTCAAAGACTTTGGAATAGTCAATAAAGAAGAAGTAGATGTTTTTCTGGAACTCTCTTGCTTTTTCAATGACCCAATGGATGCTGGCAATTTATCTCTGGTTCCTCTTCCTTTTCTAACTGCAGCTTGAACATCTGGAAGTTCACAGTTCATGTACTGTTGAAGCCTGGCTTGGAGAGTTTTGAGCATTACTTTGCTAGTGTGTGAGATGAGTACGATTGTGTAGTAGTTTGAGCATTCTTTGGCATTGCCTTTCTTTGGGACTGGAATGAAAACTGACCTTTTCCAGTCCTGTGGCCACTGCTTAGTTTTCCAAATTTGCTAGCATATTGAGTATGGCACTTTCTTTTTTTTTTCATTTATTTTTATTCATTGGAGGCTAATTACTTTACAATATTGTAGTGGTATTTGTCATACATTGACATGAATCAGCCATGGATTTACATGTGTTCCCCATCCCGATCCCTCCTCCCACCTCCCTCTCCATCCCATCCCTCTGCGTCTTCCCAGTGCACCAGCCCTGAGCACCCGTCTCATGCATCCAACCTGGGCTGGTGATTTGTTTCACCCTTGATAGTATACTTGTTTCAATGTTGTTCTCTTGGAATATCCCACCCTCGCCTTCTCCCACAGAGTCTAAAAGTCTGTTCAGTACATCTGTGTCTCTTTTTCTGTCTTGCATATAGGGTTATCATTACCATCTTTCTAAATTCCATATATATTCCTTAGTATACTGTATTGGTGTTTATCTCTCTGGCTTACTTCACTCTGTATAATAGGCTCCAGTTTCATCCATCTCATTAGAACTGATTCAAATGTATTCTTTTTAATGGCTGAGTAATATTCCATTGTGTATATGTACCACAGCTTTCTTATCCATTCATCTGTTGATAGGCAGCTAGGTTGCTTCCATGTCCTGTCTATTAAATAAATGACCCAATCCAAAAATAGGCCAAAGATCTAGACAGGCACTTCTCCAAAGAAGACATAGAGATGGGTAACAAACACATGAAAAGATGCTCAATATCACTCATTATCAGAGAAATACAAATCAAAACCTCAATGAGATACCATTACATGCCAGTCAGGATGGCTGCTATCCAAAAGTCTACAAGCAATAAATGCTGGAGAGGGTGTGGAGAAAAGGGAGCCCTCTTACACTGTTGGTGGGAATGCAAACTAGTACAGTCACTATGGAGAACACTGTGTAGATTCCTTAAAAAACTGGAAATAGAACTGCCATATGACCCAGGAATCCCACTGCTGGGCATATACACTGAGGAAGCCAGAACTGAAAGAGACACGTGCACCCCAATGTTCATTGCAGCACTGTTTATAATAGCCAGGACATGGAAGCAACCTAGAGTGTGGCACTTTTACAGCAACATCTTTTAGGATTTGAAATAGCTCAACTGGAATTGTCTAGTGTTCTTAAGTGCATTATTTGGAGAGAATTCATCTTTTCCCAGTGGAAAAAAACATTTCAAAATGATAAAGAAAACAAAGAGATAATATATTTACTATTTAATGATATTACTCAGCAAGAAATAGAGATGATATGTAATTTGAAAACAGTGGGGAAAAATACTTATATAAAAATGTAAATAAATTATTTGAGCAGGACTCAAATTTCTTTCTGGTGCTAGGAATAAAAGATAACAGAAAGAATATGGTAAGAAAACTGTCACTAAAATTGAACAATATCTCACTGTCCTGTAACTCATGCACACAGTGAGTGTTTCTAATCAAAACTGTCTCCTCCTCAGGGTTTTTCTCAGAGCATGTTTGACATCTTTGTTCCTCATGCTGTAAATTAATGGATTGAGGAAGGGAACAGTATTGGTATAAAAGACAGAAGAGATTTTACCCTCATCCATAGACACTGCAGAAGATGGTTTGAGATACATAAATGCCCCTGATCCAAAGGACAGAGAAACAGTAATGATGTGGGAACTGCAGGTGCTGAAGGCTTTGGACCTGCCCTCTGTGGACTTGATGTGGAGGATGTTGGCAAGGATGAGGCCATAAGAGATAAAGATAGTGAGCCTGGGCACAGTGATATTGATGCCTGACATGATGATAACTTCCAGCTCAAGGATGTAGGTACCTGTGCAGGAGAGCTAGAGGAGAGGGTAGATGTCACACAAATAATGGTTGATGGTGTTTGCATCACAGAACGTCAGTCTCAGCATGCATCCAGTGTGAGCCATGGCACCAGAAAAGGCCATCAAGTAGGAAGCAAGCATAAGCCTGGAACACACTTTAGGGGACATGATAACATTATACAAAAGTGGCTTACAGATGGCCACATAGCGGTCATAGGCCATTGATGTCAGCAGATAGCATTCAGAAATGACAAAAAAGCAGTAAAAGTAGAGCTGAGTCATGCATCCCATATAAGAAATAGTATTCTTCTTTGATGTGAAATTAATTAGCATTTTTGGTGTAAACACAGAAGAATAACAGAGGTCTATAGAGGACAAGTTAAAGAGGAAAAAGTACATGGGGGTGTGCAGGTGTGAATTCAGTGCAATTAGGATTATCAAGCCCAAATTCCCCAGCACAGTGACGATATACATTCCTAGAAATAAAAAAAATAGGGGGAGTTGGAGATCTGGTTGGTCTGTTAATCCCAACAGAATGAATTCAGTCACAAAAGAGTAATTTCCAGGAGCCATTCTTCTCTAAGGGAATCTGTGGACACAGGAGAAAGTGTTCCATTAGAGAACAACCCAGCCCTTGCCACAGTGTCTCATTTATGAGGGAGGGTAAACAGTGGGAATGTCAGAGACTAGTCCTACCTGGTCCCACAGAATCTGCCTTAACCTTTATCAGGATACTGAGTGATGTGGACTTGTATAAGCTAAATGCAGCAAAGGAAATCAGAAACTTCAGAGTTAAGGCCAGTACTGTTATATGCAAATAAATTTCTGGAAACACAAAGGGCAAGGACAGACCAGGACAGAGCCATTGAATGTCTCTAAACATTCTCTGATGACTCTCTAACAGATTCCTCCGCCAGTTTCATATAAGTCTCAGATCTACAGAAAATGAGAAAGAATGGGCATGCATTCAGTCACTGTACTTACATTTCAAAACAGGGAATAAGTATGTAAATTGAATTCAGAAACTCACGTTAGTTCAGAAAACCTCAGGGCTGACTCCCTTATCCTTGGTCTCTACCCAGTTGGGAGTGGAAATGCTATTTCAGATTCCTGAGGCTTGATTTCTTTTATCCTGAGAGGTGTGAGCCTAGACATATGCCTGAGAAGTCTTTCTGAACTATTATGATTTCTGATAATTATTTCAGTCCTTTCAAGTATCAGAGAAAATAAAGCCTTTTAATTATCACACTTGCTACTGGATTAGACACAGAGGATTCAGAGTGAGTGTAGTGATGAATGCACTTGGCAAAAACAGGCTAGAAGCTTCTCAATCTTTTCCCTAGGGAGTGGATCATATGTATAAAAGGGGATATGGAAATTATATATCCTGGATCATGATCGCCTTTAGTTCCTTAGGGACGCACTCTTTTACTCTTTTTCACTTTAGGTATTGTGCATCCCTCAGTGTAGATCCAAAGTAAATTCCCATCTCCTCATTATCTTCACCTCTAAACAGAAAGCCACTACATTGCTTCATTCCCTTTTTATTCCAGTTTCCCAAATGGACATATCATCTGTAAGACTCCTATTTCCAAATTTCTGTATTTCTTCATCAGAAATTTTTGAAATGTTTCAGTAACTCACTTCAGCTCTCCTCACTGTGAAATGTCTCTGAAATAATTTTCAATGTTGTATATCCTTTCTACAGCTTATACTTAAAAAAAAAAACCACACACAAAACTTGTAATTTCTACTTGATTCTCTCACTGGGTCATTTTCTGTAACATGTCAGTAATTGGAGTTATCGATTTCTTCTCATTATAGAAATGAGTAGGGACTATGGAGCTAGAGAGAGCATTGTGAATCTTAATTTAGTTACATCCTATAATTCTTTGGGCAATTGATTTAATCTTTCAGTTCAAAGTTGTAAAATTGGTTGGTAAAGATGGTATCTTTTTTATCCTGCTGCTGAGTTAATTAAATGAAAAATGTCTAAGTAAAATGACTGAATCAGTGCCTGGCATATGGTAAATAGTCAATACATGTCAGCTGTCATTATTCATGTTCTCATAAATTCTACTAGATTCCCCATCATAACACACATCAGAGTTTGTTTGTTTTTTTTCCCCCCTGAATACCTGTGTTCCTTGATAGACTCTAAATTCTATAAGGAAAAATATTTTTTCTATCTTGTTTATTGTTTGGCCCCAAGATCTAAGCACAATGCAGGGGACATGGAAGGAACTTAATAAATATTTCTGATAATCATGTTTTTGTCCGAGAATGTATTCAACATTTTTCAAATGCTAAACCATAGCATCTATAAGCACCATGACCTCCACCCATGTACCTCAGCCACCACACAACTTATGGCTTTTTGTGTTTAAGCTGAACTACTGTAATGTTGAACTACAGTGCTTCCTAATGATAATTTTAGTATTTTCCAAGATACTCCTATTTAGCCCTAAACACTGAGGTCTGAAATCACAGCTCTGTCCCTCCCTAGTTCAATATCTTCAATGGTTCTCCATTACCCATTTGAAAATTGAAGCATGAATTAAAAGTATAATTCTCAAAATTATGATTAATCCTTCATTATAACTAAGGAAGAAATTGAGTCTGTTTTATCTTTGATGAGAAGCCATGAAAATACCATTTTGATTGATATATGTATTTTGTGCAGATTAACCTTTGTAAAAATTTTAACCTTCTCAAAAATCTTAAAAAAAAATTTGGAGAATTTTTACTTTTTCTTGTCTTTTTGTTTTTACTCTTCTTACTTGTCAATTTTTATTTGTCTTAGGAAGTTAACCTATTTTATAAATATATGTGCATTTGTGTGTCAAAAATAAAAATATATGTCTATATTTACACACATTGCTTATATATATATTGGAAAGAAAGTTAAGAATGCTACTTTATAATAAAAGAGGGTTCTCTTGCTAATAGAAAAGCATCAAACTCTCAAAAAAGGTCTTCAAACTGCTCATAAAAAAGGAGTTCCTCAACACACAAAACAGTGACTTGTGCTAACATGATTACGTGATTTATTGATTTACTTTTTTGCATGACAATGCCTAAGAGAGAGAGATGGAAAAGACCAATAAGCACTAAATTTCTGGTGAATCAAAATAAAGATTGTGCTATTTGAAATTTTAATTTTTGGCTTCTTTGAAACTTTACATAGTTCTGTATTACTTATTTAGAATCTTCTCAAAATATTATATAATATTTAAATCTACTAATCAAACTAAATTAGAAAGATGTATGATACATGACATAGCATTATGGAAAAGGATCCAAGGTAAAGAGAAAACTATTAATTATATGAATTGAGGCTATAAATACTCCAGGAAACTTCACAGATGCTTATGATATTTAATAAGAGACACTAGACACCAAACTATGGAAAATTCTTAAAGGGATGGGAATACCAGACCACCTAGCCTGCCTCATGAGAAACCTGTATATAGGTCAAAAGAAGTAACAGTTAGAACTGGACATGGAACAACAGACTGGTTCCAAATTGGGAAAGGAGTATGTCAAGGCTGTATGTTGTCACCCTGCTTATTTGACTTATATGCAGAGTACATCATGTAAAATGCCGGGCTGAATGAAGCACAAACTAGATTCAAAATTGCAGGGAGAACTATCAATAAAATCAGATACGCAGATGACACCACCCTTATGGCAGAAAGCAAAGAATAACTAAAGAGCCTATTGATGAAAGTGAAAGAGAAGAGTGAAAAAGTTGGCTTAAAACTCAACATTCAGAAAACTAAGATCATGGCATCTGGTCCCATCACTTCATGGCAAATAGACGGGAGAACAGTGGAAACAGTGAGAAACTTTATTTTGGGGGGTTCCAAAATCACTGCAGATGGTGACTGCAGCCATGAAAGTAAAAGATGCTTGTTCCTGTTAAGAAAAGCTATGACAAACCTAGAAGCATGTTTAAAAAGTGGATAAATTACTTTAACAACAAAGGTCCATCTAGTCAAAGCTATGGTTTGTCCATTAGTTATGTATGGATGTGAAAGTTGGACTATAAAGAAAGCTGAGTGCCAAAGAATTGATGTTTTTGAACTGTGGTGTTGGAGATGACTCTTGAGAGTCCCTTGGACAGCTAAGAGATCAAACGAGTCAATTCTAAAGGAAATCAGTCCTGAATATTCATTGGAAGGACTGATGCTGAAGCTGAAGCTCCAATACTTTGGCTACCTGATGTAAAGAGCTGACTCATTAGAAAAGATCCTGATTCTGGGAAAGATTGAAAGTGGGAGAAGAGGACGACAGAGGATGAGATGGTTGGATGGCATCACTGACTCAATGGACATGAATTTGAGTAAACCTCGACAGTTGGTGATAGACAGGGAAGCCTGGTGTGCTGCAGTCCATGGGATCACAAAGAGGTGGACGTGACTGAGTGAGTGAACTAAACTGAACCTGACTGTGTTCCTGAGACCCTGAATACTGAATGGGTTGTCATTCCCTTCTCTGGGTGATCATGTTGACCCAGGGATTGAACCTGGATCTCATATTTCAGGAAGTTTCTTTACCATCAGAGCCACTAGGGAAGACCCTAAGTAAACATAAAGCAGCACAAAGAGGACCTGACAATCCCCGAGTCACGTGATCAGTGCTGTTTTCATGTTCTCTTCAGAGCCAAGTGGCCATGTTTGAGTGCCCTTTCAGTTCCTCGAACAGTTCCATAGCTGAAAACTTCTGAAAAGATCAAATTCCTTGGAAGAAAAGTTATGACCAACCTAGACAGCATATTAAAAAGCAGAGATATTACTTTGCCAACAAAAGTCAGTCTAGTCAAGGCTATGGTTTCTCCAGTAGTCATGTAAGGATGTGAGAGTTGGACTGTAAAGAAAGCTGAGTGCTGAAGAATAGTTGGTTTTGAACGGTGGTGTTGGAGAAGACTCTTGAGGGTCCCTTGGACTGCAAGGAGATCCAACCCACCCATCCTAAAGGAGGTGAGTCCTGAACATTCTTTGGAAGGACTGTTGCTGAAGTGAAACTCTAGTACTTTGGCCACCTGATGTGAAGAACTGACTCCTTGGAAAAGACCCTGATGCTGGGAAAGATTGAAGGCGGGAGGAGAAGGGGACGACAGAGAATGAGATGGTTAGATGGCATCACTGACTCGACATGAGTTTGAGTAAACTCTGGGCATTGGTGATCGACGGGGAGGCCCGGCGTGCTGCAGTCAATGGAGTCGCAAAGAGTCAGACATGACTGAGCGACTGAACTGAACTGACGGAGTACATATTGGTAATTATTTTTCCCTCTACTTGCACTTCCTCTTATCTCCTTGGAAGAAGGCTTTTAGTTCTATGAAGGAGGCTTTTAGTTCTTTTAGTTCTAAGGCTTTTAGTTCTATTAATAGGTAAGGGAAGCAGCTTTTCCAGAAATGAGTTCAGGAGAGAAAAAGAGTAAAAGTTCTTCCCTTTACGCCTCTATCCTCTGTCTTATTGTTCACGATGGTCACAAATGATGAAAACTGTAGTTTGAAAATATTATAACAGCATGCCCATCTTTGTTTTTAATCAACGGAAAAAAACTAT